CCTAAAACAAATCTAAATGAAATAAGAAAATATTTTTTTGTTTATTTTAAATTATTTTAAGAAAACGACTAAGTGAAATTAATGCTTAAAATTTAATTAGAAAACAAGATTAACTAAAATTAAAATCTAGGTTTTTGTTGTTTTTATTATGAAAAAATATAATTAAAGCTAAATTAAGTCCTCAGTTCTAATTCATTTTAAATTAAAGAAAATAGTTAAAATATTTATTTAATTTATTTACAAAATTAGTTTAATTAAAAAAATACTAACTTAATTTTTTTTATTTTTCTGATTATTTGTTCAATTAATAAATAAAGAAAACAAAAATAAATAAAACTAAAACAATACAACAAAAATGCGAGATGGGCCTGATAGCAAAAGAAAAATAGGGGGTGTCGTTTGAAATTGTTGGGCCCAATTGAAATTAAGCCCAGGCTCTGCGCATAATCCAATGTTACTGGCTCTTGGGGATCCATCATGGACATCTGGATCTGGATCGTTTGATCTGGCGCTGATGAGATCCAATGGTAATGATGATGGAACGTATGATACGCGCGCTTGTATTTAGTACACATGATCTACAAAGTATGTGTTATAAAAATAAAATTCCCTTGCGCCTTGATCGATCCCAGGATCTACAAGGGATATGCCTTTATAACGCGCGCTACCACTGGACCATGTTGTTTTTCTGATATCAATCTGAAACAAATAAAAAAAAAGAAGAATATGTACTATGGACGGAGAAGTGTCGGGGCCCTAGCTCCGGTCGTCTTCTTCGGCGACCTATAATTTGCAAAAATGCACAAACATGATTTTTAAAGCTCTGAAAAGCCATGTCCCCCTTAATTGAGCCCCCTGATTCCAAATCTACCCTTATTTTTGGCTAAAGGTGGCTGGATCACGTGTTTCGAATCAAAATTTACCAAAACGGAGATAAAATGGCTTAGGGTGATATTGCGTGCATGAGGCTATCCTACCGGTTCATACATGTTCAGGCAATACTCAGAATCACGTTAGAAACATCAATCACACATAAAACTAAACAAATTAAAAGAAACAGATCTTTGGAAAAAAATGCAAAAAGTTTATGATATACAGTTTTCGTGCAATTTGGATCATGGAGATTGAACCAAGCTTACTCTGTGTTCTTGCTGAGAGTGAATCAAAAGGCTTTTTGCAACGAGGAGGCTTGAAAAAGTAGTTTTGGATTTTGACAACTTTGGAGATTTTTTCAATTTTTGTGTGACTCCTTGAGGTGTTTTTTCGTGTCCTTGAAGCTTTTTTATATAGAGGGAATGGAGGGGACGAGAGGTCAAAGGAATAAAAAGCCATTAAGTTGGTGTTTTAAGGCCATGAATTTCACTTTTAAACTTTTCCAAAGACATGGTTTCTTGTCCCTTTTTTTGAATTTGCTATGGACCTGGACACATTTGACTTTCGAATTCCCTCCTTCGAATGACTCTGATTGCCTCCTTCGAATGGCCTAAAGTCTTGATGCGAAGTGTTCAGAAACCTTCTTATTAGAGCTTCTTCGATTGAGTCTATCTAGTTGCCCTAGCTGCTTGATTCAAACAACTCAAACGAAAACTTCAATATGGCAAATCGAAAACCTCCTTTGTCACAACCTTTGAATGCTAATGCACAAGAGGCCTAGGCCTGGCCACATGTAGGACCAAGACCCATCATAAGATAAGCTTGTATTCAGCAACCATGTTTCCTTCAAATGGACCAATGAATGCTTCTTTAAAGGGACCTCATGAATGCGCCTACGAAGGGACTAACATGCGTGTCGAAGTATGAAAAATTGTTTCAAAGGGGACCATTGCCCAGTCGAAGTTGGCACAAAGGCACCCAATGCCTTGTGGGCGCTAGCATGAGGCAGGTTAAAGCAAGCGTCAAAGAGGCCATCATATAGTGAATCGAATCAGGCATGAAGGAGGTATCTGCCTTGTGGGTCGAAGGAAATTTTTGCCTAGTGAATTGAAGGCAAATCTGAAGAAATCTTGGCCTAGTGTGCTGAAGGCAAGTTTAGGAGGGGGCCTTTGCCTTGTGAATCGAAGGCATGTCTGAAGCAACCCTTTGTCTTGTGAACTGAAGACCAGTGAAATGGGCCTCTTGCTTGTAGATCGAAGGCAAATTGATGGATCTTTTCCTTGTGAATCAAAGGCGTCTGAAGCAGCCCTTTGTCTTGTGAATTGAAGACCAATGAAAGGGGCCTTTTCCTTGTAAATCAAAGGCAAACTGATGGATCTTTGCCTTGTGAATCGAAGGCATGTCTGAAGTAGCCCTTTGTCTTGTGAATCAAAGACCAGTGAAAGGGGCCTTTTGCCTTGTAAATCAAAGGCAAGCTGATGGGTCTTTTCCTTGTGAAACCAAGGCAAGCATGAGGAAGCTTTGTGAATTAAGTTTAATCGAAAGAGATTCAGCGCCCAATCGAAGCTTGTATGCAGGAGTTCACTGCTGGTGATTCGAAGAAAACTTGTAGGGGATTCTTGCTTGTGAAGCTTGGACTAAGGCTTGTTCGAAGGGGAACCAACGCACAAATGAAGCTGATGGGCCAGTGCTTGGTCGAAGGGTTTTAGGAGCCCAGTCGAAGCTTGCTGTTATGCCAATCGAAGGGCACTGGTTAACTGCCAATCGAAAGACACTTTTCTAACATTCAAAAATTTCATTTTCTTTAGGCAAGTGTTTGTAACCACCCATATAAGAGAAAAACCTTGGGAAAAATGAGAGGGCAAATTTTGGGGTACAACAGCTGCCCCTGTTCAATCAACTTAAACCTGAGGATTTAGATTGGCTTGTTTTCCTTTCGTGATCTGAAGGTGGAAGATGATTGAACACTAGAGTGCCCAGAAATTTGCACTCACATGAAGTAATACTATTGGTTGATAATGTCGAGAATGGGCTTACAGATGCCATTTAGAGAAGAAGACAGAGAGTCGTCAGAGATGGGCTTAAAGATGCCATCCAAAGTGGATGTTGATTTCACACATGGTCCCTTTGGTGGTTCTTGTTCCTACTGTCTGAGGAGGAGTCCGCTGGGGAATGTGGGTTTTTGTTGTTCTCCTACTTGAGGAAAACTCTGTGGGGAATAGAGTCTAGGAACTTTAGTTGTGCAAGGCTCTGCTGAAGATTTATCTCTGGGGAGATGAAAGTTTGTTATTTTCTGGTTGAAATCCGGGCCTCATAGTACCTTGCTAGGGATAATGGAATTAACCGTTACCTGAAAATGTATTAGAAAGATATTTTGTAGGGCTGTTCCAGGATGATTCCGTGTTAGACTACATCCGGAGATATATGAGAATGAGCCCGTGTGGGGCTGCTTTAGGATGAGTCCGTGTAAGATTGCTTCTTCCGGTCGTAGATAGTTTTCCTGTCTGATTTCAGGTATTAATCTATAAATCAACTGTTCGCAGATAGTTGTCCTATGTGGTTTCAGGTATTAATCTGGAACTTGAAAATTGTCGGTCGCTGAGATAGTTTTCCTGACTTGTTACATGTATTAAACTCTGACCTGAGAAAGAAAGATAGTTTTCCTGACTTGTTACAGGTGTTAATATTCAATCTCCTCATGTAGATAGTTCTCCTGGCTTGTTTCAGGTGTTAATCTACAGTCGATCGTCCACAAATAATTCTCCTTGCTTGTTACAGGTATTAATCTGGGACTTGGCAACATTGGTCACATAGATAGTTCCCCGTCTGGTTTCGGGTATTAATTTGTGGCTTGCTATATTTGTTGGTACACCCATCTTGCTTCGGGAGTTCATACCACTTGGTCGTATAGATAGTTTTCCCGTCTGGTTTCAGGCATTAATCTTTGACCTGCTGTATAAATTGATGGTATTTGCCTGTCTGTTGATTTAACCTGAAAGGTAAAGTCAGTTTCATGTGATGTCATGATGTATGAATTGCATGATGCTCTCAAAATAAATGAGATTGTGATATATGCATTTGTGTTGCATATGCTATGATGTTTGTAGAAATGATGTATGAATGCAATGTATGAACGTGTCAGTTGTTCCATTGCTGTATTGTTGAACCAGGGAAAATAAATCCTTGATGGTTGCTAGGGGTGAAGAATGTAGGTCTTCAAATATGTTGAACTTAAAACGCTGGTGTTGTACCCTAAATTTCGCCCCTAATTTTTTTCCAGTCGCACTTTCATATCATATTTTGTCATTTGATCGCAATAATTAATAAATAGCTTCATTCATCATATTTGCATCATTTAATCGTGTTTAAGTTGACCAAAAGTCAATTTAAATCGACATTTGCATCATTTTGTAGTTGAAAAATGCCCGACATTTCACTTCATGCATTTTTATTTGTTTACTTATTTCTTGCATTGTTCCAAGTTGTTTATATGTCGATAATAAAAATATTTCGGTTTTATAGACAGACTGTGAAAAGCGATTCGACATTGTGCGGAAAATTAGCGATAAAAAATATTTCAAGTTTTCAACTTTTACCGATCATTTTATGAATCTGCATCTCGCGTAGATTATGACGGTATGCTCGCTTTATTTTTTCGGTACAATTTGAAGTCTCGTTTTTAACCGTAAAACGTCTGTTTAGCCTGATAATTTTATTATTATTTTATTTCGATTTTGACATTTTGAATATTTTTTATTTAATCTTTGTGACATGTAGATTATTTTAATGTGTTCATTTTATTTTTTCGGATAAATTTTCGTCCGTTTTTTATCGTTTTCAGTCATTTTGGGTGTTTATTTTTTATTCAGAAAAAATTGAAAAAAATTATTTTAAATTGACTTAATTTTTATACTTTCAATTTTTTTAATTGTTTTTATCTTAACATTTTGATCACAAAAATATATTAATTAGACTTTGCTTAATTTTCATTGGTTAATAGCATGAGTTAGGGATTAATACATATTGAATTTTTTTTAACGGGAATCAAATCTTCCACCTTGAGTTTTCTATATAAATCACATTTTCTTCTTTTGTTTTGATAATAAAAAAAAAAATATAATACTTAGAGTATTTCCTTCAAATAGTTTCCTTTCTATCCCCTTCATACTCCCTTCACGCCTCTGTTTCACTACTCCACACCTTTCATCCTCACGAACTGCCACCACCAATACCCATCTACCCTCTCCCAACTTCTATTTCTCCATCTCTGTTTCTATTCCCTAAGCATACAAACCCTTTCATTCCACCAATTTCCGTCGTTCATTCACAACACCAACCTCAACCCACAAATTTCCTTCCGTCTCCGCCATACCTATTCAATCTCACTCGCAACTTTAACCCATTTCACGAATTCAATCTCACTCGCAACTGTAACCCATTTCACGAATTCAATCAGACAACAACACCCCTGTCCAATTTTCACAAGCTGCGAACCGTTCCTTCCTAATTGCTCAGCAATTACCGTTATCTCCCTTCACTTCACCTCGCCGCTGATCGAATCATCCTCATCAATTCCGCTCTTCGTCTCCATCAGTCCGCAACAGCGCTGTCCATCTCCGCTGCAACGCGATACCACAACTCAACACTCCTGCTTCAGCTCAATTCTGAACCTCTCAACGCTTCACTTATGAGTTGGTAAGATCAATTTCCATCACTATTTCATAGCTTAAACATTTCTGGATTGATGCTGCGATTGAATCTGCGTGTATGAATATGTTTTGAATCTGCTATGTTTAAGCCCAATTTGTTTCTCATTCGAGTTGAAATTTTTACGCTATAATAAAATCTCTGTGAAATTGGTTTGATTGCGATAGCTGTATGCCGATAATTCTGTGATATTCTGCTGTGCTGAAACTTTAGGTTAACTATTATGCTGTGATAAGATTCTAAAGAAAAAAAAGAAGAAAACAGTTCTAGTGTTTTGTTATTTTGAGTCAATTCGAGTCAGGATAATTGCAGATTTTTAGGTCAGTTGCGATGAGAGTGCCATGATGAATTGTGATTAAACATGAGTGAAGTTCTTGATGCTAATGTTTGTGTCAAGCTTGTGTTGAGATTTCAATGTCGAATTTGTGATACAATTGTTGATTAGTCTATGTTGAGTTAATGTGATTGAACGTTGAATGTTACTTTTGTTTGAGTTCTAATTTGGTTGGGACAACATGTTATTTGAGATAACTTGAAAGTTTGCGGTGGTATTTTGTTGTTTAATTCAATTTAAATTCAAAGGTTTAACTTGTGGGTAGTTTCATTTTATCTTCGAGTCTGAATTTGATTGTTTGAGGTAAATTCTATGGAGCAGTTTTTGATGGTGTAGTTGCTGCCCAGAATTTTGTTTAAGGTTTTAAAGTTTGCTTTGAACTCAAATTTTTAGGTTGCAATACAATTTGTTGATCCTTGTTGCGTTTGTGATCGCAAAAATCATGTTTACCGTTACGTCCGCGTGGCTTTAAGTGTGATTAAGCGCAATGTATGCCATTTTGATTTTCATTTGAGAAGCGTTCATTTGTTTATGTGGATTTAGATTTGATTTCAAAGGTTCATTCGATTACAATACGGTTTTATTGTTTCCGTTGATTTTGAACATGATTGCAATGAACTCTATGAAGTATTTTTTAGATTGCATAGTTGCTGCCCGGTTTTTCAATTTGATCAATTATGGCATAATTCCAATTGGTTTTCCATGTTTCGAACAAGTTTTGAGTAGCACATGAATAAATGCTAATTGTTTTTTTTTAAATACTCATAAATGGAATGAACATTTGATTTTCGCTTTGAGATTTTAAGTCCATAAAGTTTTTATGCTCTCTAACTTTTGATTTGTATATTTAATTTTGATTTTTTCATGTATCGGAATTGAATTGAATTACATAATGAATTATTGATTTTTATCTGTGTAAATATTCATTTGTTCATATGCATCATACAATTTCATTTTTTATTTTATACTTACTGACACATGTTTTAATCATTGCAATTTCGTTTCATTTTAATTTTTATACCGCTTATGCTACTAACGTGTTTGTTACTGTGAAGGTTTCCGAGAATTCATTTCAAGTATTCATACTCGCATAGCGCATTTGCACTTTTTCTTTATTCCCTTTTTACCTTATTATTTCGATTCAATATTTGGTACTATAAATATATACTTGTACATAATATTTTGACTGTATATTTTATTCACTTCATCTGTAAATAAATTCAGGATATATAAATATTATTTTCATCGCATTGCGATTTTATTTTTTAATTCCAACTAACTTCTGAAAATTGTACGGACGCACATAAGTTTTCTCGTGCTGTTAGTTTTGTCTGTATATTTCATGTGATGCAGGGAATCTTATACCGTGAGCTTTAAACAATATCTTGAGCCTTATCCGATACCATGAGCTTTATCCACACTTTCTTCATCCGAGATTTATTTTCACGTGTTGCGATTCATTGTGCTTTATTTGCTGTTGAGAGTATTATCTTACATCCGGTTTTTTGATGTTGTCAACTTGTGATTTATTTTCACCTGAGGTTCAGTATACTCTTAGCTTATTTTTTCTGTCTTTGGCTTTAAACCCAAAGGGATGAGAATACAATATTGACTTCATCATGTCAAATATTAGTTTCTTATTCGTTGAATTCTTTTTACCATATCTTTTACACCTGTACACAGGACATTCTTTTCTCCCATTTTTTAAATTTCAAAACTTTCTCATCTTTTTCAAAACCTTCTTTGTTTATAAAATCGATCCGCTTTCATAATAAACCTCGACTTTGTCGAGTGCATTTTATTTTAAAACTTTTTTCCTTTAAACAAACCTCAATTCACTTAATCATACTTTGACATTTTTCAAAAATTAACAAAACACTTCAACTCATTAAAACTCTTTTGTGCGCTCGAGCACCTTTTACATTCAAACCTTTTTTTCAAGATAAGACACAATTCATTGATAGTCGAGCAACATTCTCCTATCCCCATGGTTATAAAGGTGTCGACTTTTTCACTTGAGTACCAGAGGCGTTCTCAAACCCTCACTCTTGCTGACACATAATCCATCTTTCCACACCTGGTGGGCGTTAGTCGAGATTTCTCTCCTAATAATGACAACTTGTCTCCTTGTTTAAAACCAACCAACTGTTTACCGTGGTTATTGGTAAACAACCGCTGATCCTCCAAATGATTACTTATTTGGTTACTCGCAGGATCGATCAGATTGATCCTAGGACATAGGTTGATTTTGAGGTTTTGATTGAATTGGATAACGATTAAATGACAATAAAATAAAGAAGCTTCAAGTAAATTGCATGAAGAAATAGGCTTGGTAAAATAAATGAAGGCTTTAAATAAAGGGGCTTCGACAGAAAAGTAAAGAAGAAAGCAAGTAAAGTTTCTGGAAAAGTAAATGACTTTGATTAATAAAATTGGTGTTTCACACATACATTCTCAACAATTCTTTCTCACACGCTGGGTACTCGAATCTATATGAGTGACTTTGTATATAATTGTGAACACACGCGAGAAACTGCGTGAACTACTACTATTTATACTAAAACATCCCAAGTAACCGTCGGGCAGTTACACTGCTTCGAGATGATCCCACTTGGCACGTTCTCAATGTTCGACGCTCCAGATCTTTGCATGTTGCACTTGGTAACCGCTGGAAACCGTTTTCCCTCCAAATGCTTGAATTTCAAACCGTTCCACTCTGAACCATCGAACACCTTCGTCGAGAAGCATCTTCGACGAGAAACACCTTCGACGTCGAAGGCAACCAACTTCTCCCTTGGAAGAAATCTTCTAAGTACATTGCCATCTTTCGATGGGCATTTCGACGGACCTAGCTGGTCGAAAACATCCTTCAGCTTTAATGGCTGACATTAATAAAACAAGGGTGTCGAATTTAGGAGCTAACAAATTGCCCCCCAAGAATGCCTTATTTCGACTCTGAAAGAAAAAGGCATTCTTTGAAATGCCATTCGACACCTGTCTTTTCATTCTTAGTCACAAATTAAATTGTGCACTTTTTGTTATCTTCTACCAACCACTGACAATCCCAAGGAAAAGCCATCATTCATCCGTACCTAAGACGTCACTTCAGTACGGCGTGCAGTGTGCCAAACGTCATTTCACAAATTGTCATCATGACAATTCCCAAAAACGAGGGCGCACGCTGCACCCTTCCATTTCTGCAGAACGGCTACAACAACAGGGAGACGCCACGTGTCCCACTACCTTCTGCAACATTAAATGGCATTTAATGTCCTCGAATTTGGGGACTTCCCCCACTACTATAAATAGCGGTAAGTACCCATTGTGGGACTTTTTACGCTACCTTGCTTTCAGAATTCCTCATTTGCATACAAACTCTTGTCAACTTTTGCAAACTTCTTGTTCTTCACTTCATCTTCAACCTCGTTACCAACAATGGCATCTGGTTCTTCCAACGCTCCTAGCGCCAACACTCCCTCTGGAAATGTCAAACCTAGGGTTTTCTCCACCGCTCCAGTAGTGACTCCCACGGGCCAACGAAGGGTCCCCGAGCCTTTGGACATTGCTGTACGTGATGCTTATTCACGCCATCTCATGATTCCGGTCGGATATTCCAACCAAATCTTTGCTATGTCTGGCCCATTGTACCCAAGCATTGCTGAGGCCATGAAGATCAAAAGCTACTTTCCGGTACTTGAGAGACTCAAACCGGTTGGATGCTCCAAGAAAGATGCAGAGGATAATGAAGATCCTGCTAAAGAGAAAATCGACCTCCGTTTCTTCAACAAAGGTGTTAGGGCTTTCAGGTCTGGCCCTAGCCTTACTCCTGATTATAGTGCTTGGCTGGAAAAAATGGAGAAACGCCAGGCTTCGATCTGGAAAGACATGGGGATTTTCGACCTGGTTATGCTGTCGAAGACAGGTCTTAACTATTCCCCAGAGATGTTGATAACTTCTTTACTCTTCTGGGACTACACCCATTTCACCTTCCATCTTCCCTGTGGAATGTTGACTCCCACGCTCTTCGACGTGGCCGCCATCACTGGCCTTCGACCCACTGGGGACTACTTCGACCCGGAGGAAATGTCGGAGGATCAGATTAGATTCTCTGCCACAAAACCAACCTACACCACCTTCATCAATCACCACCACGATAGGTCGACAGATGCTGTGTCGGATGTCGAACATATTGCGTTTCTAGCCTTATGGCTGACACGCTTCGTGTTTTGCTCCAAGTCTTTACAGGTGACCAAGAAGATGGTCACTCTCGCCACTCAACTCCACCATGGCCAAAATATCTGTTTGGCAGAATTGATTTTGGCTAGCCTGTATGAGTCGATTAGCAACGGAGCGACTCTTCTGAAGATCATCGAGAACAGAGCCAGTCTGCTGCTTGCTGGACCGTTTTGGCTGCTTCAACTGTGGCTCAATGCCACCTTCGAGTCTTTCTTGCCTAAGAAGATTCA